TGAAGAGTTGGAAAATTACACAGACGAAAATTTTCTTCCCAAGATTGGTAAGCAAAGTGTACTAGGTTGAATTGTAATCCCCCAAAACTCATGTTCACTCAGAATCTGTGAATGTGACCTTATTTGGAAAGAGCGTGTTTGCAGATATAATCAAGTTACAACGAGGTCGTAGAGGATTAAGGTGGACCCTGATCCAATAGCTGGTATCATAAGAAGAGAGAAATTTAGAGGTGCCTGGGTGGCTCGGTCAATTGAGCATCAGACTCTTGATTTCAGCTCAGGTCATGATCCCAGGGTCATGGAATCCAGCCCAGTGTCTGGGTCCTTGCTGAGCATGGAGCCTGCTTGGGATTCACTCTCTCCCTCTGCCCCTCTCTCCCACTCGCGCTCTCTTTCTCAAAAAAAGGGGGGGGATTTGAATCTAGATACTGACACACAGAGCAGAATGCCGTGTGAAGATAGAGGGAACGACAGTAGGGATGCACCTACAAGTCAAGGACTGCTGAGGATGGCAGGCAATGACTACAAACTAGGAAGAGAGAATGAAGGATTCTTCTCTAGAGCCTTCAGAAATATCATGGTTTCAGCCTTCCAGTCTCCAGGACTGTGAGAGAATAAATTTCTGTTATTTAAACCACTCAGTTTGTGCTAATTTGTACAGCAGCCCTAGGAAACTAATACAGGAAACATATGGAAAGGAGGGACACTGAGTCAATATGTATTTCAAAACACTTGGCTTAACTTTAATACTCTCCTGTAAGCCCCATCTAGGAATTTAAGTTGGATGAACAAACATGAGCTGACCTTTCACTACTGGGACTTTGGACAATTGTGGTGCATTCATTCAAACTAAAAAATAAAGGGAAAAAAAGAAAAACATTTATTTTAATCATTCCACTATAGATTCTTGTAGGTTTTTGAGACTCTGCAAGATCACTGCCTCTGTTGTCTGCTTTGTCTTGGTAGTGTGGTAGTGAAGAACTAATTTTTGTAGATTTTATTGAAACATTTTCAAAAATGCTAGGCAGCTCAGTTTAAGACACCCAGAACTGCATTACTTGCTAAACTTCATTTAGAATTGCTCACATTTTCCATGGATGTGTGATCAACAGCATTTTATATTTGATCTTGTTAGACATATGCTGTACTTGTTCAACAGAAAGACGAGCACAACCCAGAAGATCCTTTCATCTTCTTTCTTTCCTCCAGAAGCATACAGGTAATCAGAGATAAAATCAACATAAATGCTTGATTATTCTGGATCAAAGTATTGCTTTCATTTTTGGGCTAAGTTGGTGTATTTGCCTACTATGATGAAAATAAAATCTGATTTTGGTCTAATATTAGTACTATTTCTCTTCTATTTCATTAGCCTTTGTCTCCTCTTCTGCACAAAATTCTACTATCCTTCGATGCCCATCTTGAATGTCATGTCTTCTTAAAGCCTTCTCCAGGGCCAGCCAATAGGGCCAAATGGTAGCTCTCTTCTCTGGGTTTCCATAACCTTTTGTTCTAATCTCTGCTATATTACATATGTTACATTACAGTTAGTTGTTTGTCTAACTCCTCTGATGGACTGTGGGCTCCTTGCTCATTTTTGCATTCCCAGCTTCCAGCATTATGCCCAGTATATAGCAAGCACTTAGTAGATGTTTGCTGAAGAAATGATGGATTTTTGATGACTGAAAGCTATTTTTAAAAGTATTCTTCATCATGGAACTTAAAGAGTGGTATACCTCATAGGTATGCTTTGATGTAGAATAACTTTGAGAACTGTAAATGGAATACAAACATTAGCACTATTGTGCTGAACTTGATCCTGCAAAGTTGGCACTGACTCCTCACACCTTTTTTGATTTCTAGCTTCTGCTCTGAACCTTTCCCAGCTGTCCCTCATATCTCTGTTATAAAAATAGAAGAATCTGTTACAAGCTCTCCTCCCCACTGGTAATGAAGTCCATAAAATAAAGGGGATAAAGAAAAGAGGCAGGGGGTGATCATATTCTTTTTTGTCTGATACCTGTGTTTTTTTGTTGATAGTAGATTTCTATTAGGAGGCCCCCATTTCTTTCAGGGTCATCCATTCATTCATTCACTCAAGAAATAGTACTTACTATTGAATGAGTAGGCCCAATGCTAGGGGAGAAAAGGAATTTATAGTTTGGTGATAGGAAAAAAAAAAAAAAAAAGCCAGGTAGAAAGTACTGTGTTTTCTAAAAGAGACACAGACAAGTCCATGAGAATTTCAACGAGGAAAATGAAGCTCAAGAACCAAATTGCTCAAGTTCACACACCTTGTAATCGTTAGAGCTGAGGTTTATTTCTCTTAAATTTGATACTAGATGGAATAGATGGAGGAACTGAGATACAAGCCTAGGTCAGGCTGGTACAAAAGCCTGTGCTCTGTGACACTACACCATGCTGCTTCCCATTGGCTCCTGCTTTAGTTATCTGAAAGAGGCTAACGGACCTACTCTACTAGGATATCAGCAAAGAAAATAAAAAGGGTAAGTGGGTAGAGGCAAGAAACAAATGCAGGACACACAATTAGCATGACATAGCAACTGACTAAATGTGGAGAGAAAGAGAAAGAATGCAATTAGAGATGGCTTAAGCTTGGAACCTGGGTAGCCAGGAAAACAATAATGCCATCAGTAGGATTAATGATCTCAGGGAAAGGGCCAGTTTTTTATTCAGTGAGAGCTCTGATCCTTCGAAACTCTGCTGTCATGTCACCTCCTCAATGTAATCTTTTCTGAGATTCTCAGGTCCATTATACGGTATTTTGTATCTCAACGACAGTAAGGTAATGGCGATGATAATTAACAGTTTTTGAATGCAGACTGAGGGCTAAGGGTGTACTAACTTCCTTTTATTCTTCACAATAACCATATGATGTAAGTATTATTATTAACCCCATTTTACAGAAGAGGAAACTGGGGCTTAGAGAGTCCTAATGCTATAAGTATGAAACGGCAGGGGCACCTGGGTGGCTCAGTAGGTTAAGCGGCCGACTTCGGCGGCTCACGATTTGTGAGTTCGAGCCCCCCATCAGGCTCGCTGCTGTCAGCTCCGAGCCCACTTTGAATCCTCTGTCCCTTTCTCTCCACCCCTCCCCCACTCGTTCTCTCTCAAAAATAAATAAACATTAAAATTTTGTTTCAAAAAAAAAGTATGCTTGTCACATAATAAGTATGAATCATTGCACTCATCTCTCTCCTGTAATTACTGGAACTTTCGTTCTCACTGAACTGTGAACTCTAGGATAGGAAGTGTGTCTGTTCCATTTTTCCTTTCCCCAGCAGCTGGCACCACGGTCGCCACGGGTTCGGCCTTCGGCAAGCATCTGTTGCCTGAATGGCATTATTCAGGTGGCTTGAAATTCCATCTCTGAGCCTAGGAGAAGGGAGGTGGATGGAAAAATAGGTATGAGTTCCACACATAGACATTTACACCTGACAAGAAGCAGGACTGCCAAGGTAGAGAGCATGGAGGGAATAGAACACTGGAGAAAGATTGATGGCAGGAGATGACAGAAGCCAGAAAAGGGACTTGAGAGGATATACTTTCAAGGAAACCATGAGAAAAAAGAGAGTTCAAGGGGATTGAGGTGAGTCCAGATGAAAGCCTGTCTTAAAGGTGGAGTATGAAAAATTTGTGGTTAGCAAGCACCTGACTCTGAGGTTTAAAAAAAAGGGGGGGGGTGCTTTTTTTGAGTCTCATAAAAAGGAAATGATAGTCATTGTGTAATAGTATTCTAAAACTTGGCAGGCTTTCAAGTGTGAGTCTCTATCTGCCTTGCCGGGAAAGTTGAGACAGCTAGGGGACGTTGAAGATCACAGGAAGATCACATTGAGGACCATATTGAAGATCACCTCTCCAAGGTGCTACTTCTCAACTAAATCGTAATGGAGTCGAGTTATATCTTCACTCACAATATGAGATAGAAAATTCAAATAAAACGTCCATTTTTGCCCTTCATTATTAGTTTTAGGCTGGTAAAGCAGGATTGATGAGGTCTGTGCCAAGTGGACAAAATTATCAGCATTAGGTTTTTATCCGAAGTATCTTCTTCACTACACTTCAATCTCAGTAGGGTTCCACCACCCACAGAGACTGAATAACCGGTTTTCCAAGTTTTTCCTGATGGAGCTCTGGTTACTACAAATGATTTGGGATCCCTACTCCTCCTTAGGGAGTCGATATCAGAATTGAGAAAGGCGTTTTTTATAAAGAGCAGGTAGCACCACTTTTGCGTTTAAAAAAAAAAACAAACTTTAAGTTATTCTTCTAAGGTTTTTGAGGAATAGAAAACCCTTCCGTGGTCAAATGGGCCCGCAGGAATCTTGCCGAACAAGATAAAAATTTACTCTCACAACACATGGTCTTATGGGGATTTTCCCACTAACTGGAGGAAAATAGAGCCTGAACGCTTGCTGGAGGGACTGAACCAAGCACTTTCCTAAAAACGGCTTTTCCACACTTAGGTGAAAGAGCCCCTGTTCAAGGCTCTACAACGGATCTGGCACCTTGAGCAAGGTGTTGCTCACTCCGGGGCTTAAATGTTCTCTTCTATAAATTAAGGGTAAAGGGTGCGTGTGTATGTAGAGGAGCCTGGACTGTAAGCGCTTTTAAGCTCCTCTCCAGGTCTCTGGTCATTTCATAATGATTTCTCCCCTTCCTTTATGTTTCTTCTGTCGAAAAAAAGCTGTGAATTCTTCGGATATGAAAAGAAAAAAAAGCAGGCAGTCTCGCCTCAAAGATAAGTATTAGGGAGAAGGGATTCTGAAGGGCGCGGGGACTCAGGGCCTCCAGCACCCGCACCAGCAGGCCCCACTGGAACCCCCGCCCTGCGGGACCGGGTGCCATGGCCGCGCGCACAATATGGCGTCAGCACTCTGGGTCTTGCCCGCGCCCCCGCGACTCTGCACTGCGGCAGCCGGCCAAGGCTCCACCCCATTGGCTGACTGCAATGAGGTCATCGTGGGGGCGGAGCCAGCCGCTACGCGGGGGCAGGGCTTTGCGGACGCACGCACGTCGAGCGCAGCTGTCCCGAGCCGCGGAGGCTGCGGGGTTGGTCTGGGGCGGCTGCTTTGGCTGCGGCCCGGCCCGCGGCTGAAGGTGAGCCGGGGATGTAGGTACAGCGCGGCAGGGAGCGGCCCGGGAAGGGCACAGGAAATCGTTCTAACAGCCTCCTCGCTTGTCAAAGGAATTAGCAGGGATCTTAGGTCTTTGAGAGGAAATGGGGTTCACCCCTCTTTGGGCGCCCCTCTTGTGGGCAGAGGAATTGGAGGTTCGCTCCTCTTTGGAGGCCCTGATCCCTCCCCCCCATTTAAGGTGGAGGCGGAGGAACTGAAGGTTATTGGGTAGGCAGAAAAATTTGGGGGGCTTCTTAAAGGGGCTCCCCATTTGAGGGTTCCCCCCTTTTAATCGTCACTTCTGGAGGTAGGTGTGCCTGGGCTCAGAGAATTCCTGCTTTCTCACTGGGTAGACAGGAAATGAAGCAGGTGAATTTGAGTACCTCGTAGGAGACGAAGACTGGATGACAATAATGAGGCGGGCGCCGGGCGCTTTATTTGTATTCATCTTGTGCAGAATTACTGTTTCTTCATATTTTGTTTTGTGACATCGTCCCACCCTTGAATCGCTTTGGCCTGGTTTTCTGTTTGGCTCCAGTGGGATAGAGATGTTCTCGGGAGACTTGTAATCATTAAAGAACAGAAGCAGGGAGGCAACTCTGGAGGCTGTCATTATTGGCAGCCCCTGAACTATGCTGATCAGGCATAATCTTACGGCTTTAGAGGCTGCGGAATCTCTCCTTGTTTGGGGGAAGATGTGGGAGGGTTGATAACAGCTGTTTTGAGTGACTCAGGTATAGACGATTTTAAAGTCAAGCTACGTAATCTCTTGAGAAATCCTTGCTTATATATGAGTGTGTTATTGTGTGCCTTGAACATCAAATGCACAAAGGTTTTGTCATTCAGATTTCTCAAAATGTCTTCCAGCCTTGCAGAGTAGCTCTTTTTTGATGCCAGTTTCACCTACCATTATGGATGCCTTCATGATACTAAAAATACTGTATGGTGTGGTGAGTTTAGATACTGTGCAGTCTGTGCCTTACAATAGCTGATTGCGAACAAATAATTGCAGTTTCAGGACCACTGATAGCGCCATTGTCTTTCATACCGGGCGAGGATAAGACAGCCCTAAAAGAAATCCTTTATTGGCTTATGTATGAGAAGCTTTAACAGATGGAAGAATGTAATTAATCTTGAAGGATGGGGATAAGAAACGGAAAGCTAAGGAGGTGGCCAGTTTATACCCTGTGGCTTGATAAAAACTGCTTTGTCATTATCAATGTACTCCTGGCATGCTGGACTTGAAATCCAGCTTAATATGCAAGCTGGCTTTTTTTTTTTTTTTAAGTAGGCTCCACACCCAACCTGGGGCTTGAACTCATGACCCTGAGATCAAGAGTCACGTGCTGTACCCACTGAACCAGCCAGGCGCCTCTCTCTCTCTCTCTCTCTCTCTCTCTCTTTTTTTTTTTTTTTTTAGATAATGCTGATGTGTTTAGATTCCTTAGGGAGAAAATGGTGTTTTCTGAGAAGTTGGAAGGTTAAACCCTTTAAGGTAGCCTTAGCTCTAGGGTAGTGCTGGGACTCTGAGAGTTAGAAATGGGCAGTAGAGGGTAGAAAACTAATTTCAAGGGAGACATCCTTTATGAGAGGGTAATCTAGGTATCTTCTGTTTGTTTCCTGACACAAACCAAAAACAGGTTGTGTAGTGTGAACGCCACTGAGTCATAATACCCTGTCCAGGGTATTTAAAGAGCTGTTTGGGAATCCCAGTTCCTGTTTTTAACCTGGATACATTCTTATGTATTGAGATGCCCCAAAGTATTGTCATTTGATCCTGGTGTTGACTGCAAAGGAAGTGACTTTTCATCTGCAGGAGACGATTTAGTAACAGTCTTTTGCAATTTCTCCTTTCCATCTTTCTAAGCAGGATGTTAAAAATCTGTCTGCAAGGGGTAGAAGATATGGAATGCAAAACAAAAGAGCTTTACTGCGGTGTTGTTTGCTCTTAGCCCTCTTGGTAATATCTGAGGTCATGCGGTTTTCTCTCTTTGCTTTAGGTTGGAAAGAAATCCATACACTCCATTGACTGGCACTTTCTGCCACCATGGGGGAGCTTTTCCGGAGTGAGGAGATGACGCTGGCCCAGCTTTTTCTACAGTCAGAAGCTGCTTATTGTTGCGTCAGTGAATTAGGAGAACTGGGAAAGGTTCAATTTCGTGATGTAAGTAGTTGTGGGGCTGCTTGTTGAATACCGCTAAACTCTGTTTTTTCTTGTCATGGCTAATTGCCTTATGATGAATGTTGGGTTTTATTTGCAAAAATAACATTATAGCACTGGCTTACTGTTGGTAGAGTGTACATTTCGAGTTGTCTCTCTAGAGGTGAGAACGTTTGTGCCAAAATTTCCATGATTTTACTAGTTCCCCCTTTGCAAATAATCCTATACAATCTCAAGGTAATTGATTGGGATGTGGGTAGAGGACACACCAAGGCTTGCACATTGCTTTTGGCCTCTTTAACACCTGTGGCAGGTTATTTAAAAAATGTCATAGCTCTTCCATACAGTAGGACATGTTTATTACAAAATCTGATGCATCAACGTACAGATATATAAGTAAGTATATACTAAATATCCATTATTTTGAAGCATTATGCTGGGCACTTAGAGAAGATATCTAAAGAAAATCAGCAGTCTAAGAGTATAAAAAAGTATGCCCTAAGGGGCTTGCAGTCTGCTGAAGAAGGCACAACATACCCTGTTGAAAGGAAAGAGGAGTTAACAGTTTCCTAATTACGCATCTCAAAGCTCCATGTACTTTCACTGATAACATTCACGGTAGTTGTGGTTTTACATTCACTAGTGTTAGTAGTTGATTAGTCTCTGTCTTCTACTGTCATCTTAGGATGCTGAAGACAATCGTTGTATCCTTTGTGTCCACATACAGGATACTGTCAGCATTTGTTGGAATGAATAGGTGACAGAGGAGTGGTCAGAATGGGGTGGGATTAATCAATATTGGCTTCCTGGAATTGGCACACTGAAATTACACAAATATAGTCCAGTGACATAGTATATTTTTTATTATCTTTGAACCTTCTTATGCCTTCCCTCTTTGTTTTTTTTTTTTTTTTTTCAACATTTATTCATTTTTGGGACAGAGAGAGACAGAGCATGAACGGGGGCGGGGCAGAGAGAGAGGGAGACACAGAATCGGAAACAGGCTCCAGGCTCTGAGCCATCAGCCCAGAGCCTGACGCGGGGCTCGAACTCACGGACCGCGAGATCGTGACCTGGCTGAAGTCGGACGCTCAACCGACTGCGCCACCCAGGCGCCCCATGCCTTCCCTCTTTGAATGTTCTCCTACCTGATTCTGATTCCTTTTCTTACCATTCTGAGGGCTCACTGTTATCTTCCACTAACCTCTCTTATCTTCTCCATCTTGGCTTTCTGTGTCATTATTCCTCAAGCTGTCTCCTCTGCTCTGTCTGGAGAAGCTTGTCCATAGCCACATCTTCCTTTACCACCTTTTTTGATGACCTCATCTATTCTCAAATCTTCCATCTTATTCGTTGAGCCCCAAATCTATGTCTCTGGCCCTGACAGTTCTCAAACACCATCCGTAAATTTACAACTCTCTAAGAATTTTGTCATTTCTACTTCTCATGGTAGCCTGTCTAAATCCCAGCACCTTACCTTCTCCCAAACTATTTCTTCATCCTGACTTCCTAAGTTTGAGCTAATGTATTGATAGTCTTCCAGTTTTCTAGATTTGAGACCTAAATCAAACCTAAGTCACCCTTAATTTGAAACCAAAGGAAGTTGGTCCTACAGTGTCTCCCCCTTCCTAACACCCATTGTATCTATTCAGCATTTTTTTTTTTTTTTTGAGGGAGGGAGAGGGTGGGAGGGGCAGAGAGTGTGGGGGAGAGAGAATCCCAGGCTTTCAGCGCAGAGCCTGACATGGGGCTCAAACTCACGAATCGTGAGATCATGACCTGAGCTGAAATCCAGAGTTGGATGTTTAACCGACTGAGCTACCCCTGTGCCCCTCTCTTCAGCATTCTTAAATTTTACTTATGATGTATTGCAATCAGACAAAAAATTATAGGGAATAACATAATGAATACCTCCATTTCTACTGTCTGCTTAAGAGATAAACATTCATGTAATTGAAGGCTCCCGTGTAGTCTTCCTGCATGCTATTTCTCTCCCCACCTCCCCACAGGTAACATTTGCAATGATTTTTGCCTTTTTTTTTTTTTTTTAAGTAAGTCTATGCCCAACATGGGGCTTGAACTCATGATCCCAAGACTGAGAGTCACATGCTCTACCGACTGAGCCAGCCATGTTTGAGCCAGCCATGTTTTGCTTTTATCATTCCCATGTATTTTTATTTTTTACTCTTGCTACATATGTGTGTATTGCTAAATAATAATATATACTAGTATGATTTTGCATGTTTTAAAACTATATGCATGGCATATTGTATGTATCTTTCAGCACTGTGCTTTTGAAATTCATTATTTGTGAGATTTGACCACCTGTTACAGGTAGCATTAGTTCATTTCTTAAAATTGCTATATAGTTAGGGGCGCCTGGGTGGCGCAGTCGGTTAAGCGTCCGACTTCAGCCAGGTGACGATCTCGCGGTCCGTGAGTTCGAGCCCCGCGTCAGGCTCTGGGCTGATGGCTCAGAGCCTGGAGCTTGTTTCCGATTCTGTGTCTCCCTCTCTCTCTGCCCCTCCCCCGTTCATGCTCTGTCTCTCTCTGTCCCAAAAATAAATAAAAGTTGAAAAAAAAATTAAAAAAAAAAAGAATATATACAGTTTATCATTTTTTCCTTCTGATGAACATTTAAGTAATTGCAGTTCTTTGTTATTACGGTGTTGCAAGGAAGATTCTTGTATATGTCTCCCGGTATACATGTGAGATAGTTTCTCCAGGGCAGTGGTTCTCAAAATTTTTGGTCTAAGGTCCTCTTTACACTCTGAAAACATGATTGAGGATCCTAAAGAGCTTTTATGAGTTATAGCTGTCAATATTTATTGTATTGGAAATTAAAATGAAGATATGTTTAAAATACTTATTTAAAAACTCACAATAATAAACCTGATATGTGTTATCATAAGTAGTATTTTTTTAAAAAATAATTATATTTTCCAAAATAAAAGAATTGCTTTGCTTTTATATTTTTGAAAATTTCTTTAATGTCTGAATTAATAGAAGGCAGCTGGATTCTCCTATCTGCTTCTGCAGTCATCTGGCTGTGATGTATACCATGAGCCTCTGGAAAACTTCACTGAATATTCATGAGTGAGGATGAAAAAGGCAAATGATGTTTTAGTGTCACTGTGTAAAGAATATTGATTTCACGGACTTGTTGCTGCTCTGGGGATTATAACTAAGAGGGGCATTGCTGAGCATCCTGTGCCTCTTTAACTGTTAGGTGTTGTGAAGTGCTGTATTTTTGTTGTTTTAATTTGAATTTTCTTGATTAGTACGCTCAGTATCTTTTTATCTGGTTATTGGACATAATGGGTTTCATTCCCATGAATGTCTTATCCATATCATCTGCTTGTTTTTCTATTGGGTTGCTTACCTTTTGCTTACTGACTTACAGAATATGTAAAAGTTCTTCATGTATTTTTGGAAGCTAATCTTTTACTAATCCTTTACTGATAATTTGCCTTGTCTTTTCCCTTTGTTTAAAAAAAATTTTTTTTAAACATTTATTCATTTTTGAGAAACAGAGTGAGTGGGAGAGGCAGAGAGAGAGGGAGACACAGAATCTGAAGCAGGCTCCAGGCCCTGAGCTGTCAGCGCAGAGCCTAACACAGGGTTCGAACTCACGGACCGTGAGATCATGACCTGAGCTGAAGTCAGGTGCTTAACTGACTGAACTGCCCAGGCACCCCTGTCTTTTCTCTTTGTTTATGGTATATGTGGTCACGCGTAAAATTAATTGTTCTTTTTTGCTTATTAGTATTTTTTCCCTAAATTTTTATTTTTAAAAATTTCAAAGCTAAATGCTCTGCAGTCGATTCACCACTTGTTAACATTTTGCTACGTTTGATATAATCTTTTTTACTGCACTATTGAAGAGTAAGCTGTTTCTTCCTTTCAAGTCCTTATTCTTTTTTTTCTTATTTTGCCGTGTACCTTAAGACCTTTACTAACAGGCAGAAGAAGAGTAACGGCAAACTAATACTGGTTAGGATTGTGTTCAGCTGTATGTAACTGAAAACCCAAGTGATAGGGGTGTACTTTCTTATGTAACATGAGGCCCAGCTTCACACTATCACCAGTGTCCTAAGATCATCCTATATTTCTTTTTGGCCATCCTGGAGCATTTGGCTTTTGTCCTCGTAGAGGACCACCAAAACTCCAGGCATTGCATGCATATTCTAGGCAAGAAGAAGGAAGTGCAGGGAGAAAGGAGAAGTACTTCTATCAGGAGAAAAAAAACAAAACAAAAAACAACTTTCTTAGAAATCCTCAGAAGAGTTTCCTAATTTTTGTTGACCAGAATTATGGCATAGTCTAGCTGTAAGGGAGTCTGGGAAAAGAGGCTTTTCAGCTGAGCAGTAACTGCCTTAAATGAACATTTTTTAAGTTTATTTATTTATTTTGAGAGAGAGAGAGAGAGGGAGGGGCAGAGGGAAGAAGAGAGAGAATCCCAAGCAGATTCTACATTTTCAATGCGGAGCCTGATGTGGGGCTTGATCCCATGAACTGTGAGATCATGACCTGAGCCAAAACCGAGTCAAATGCTTATCTGACTGAGCCACCCAGGTACCCCTGGGGTTTTTGTTAATAAGAAGTAAGGCTATGTATGTATCACATGGCATTCTTGTCTATGCTCCTGACTTTAAGGGGAATCTAAGTTTGTTTGTTTGCTTCTTTCTTTCTTTCTTTCTTTCTTTCTTTCTTTCTTTCTTTCTTTCTTTCT